AGGGTTAGGCTTTATGGTTTAGGGTTTAGGGCTTAGGGCTTAGGATTTAGGGCTCAGGGCTTAGGGTTTAGGGCTCAGGGCTCAGGGTGTAGGGTTTAGGGCTTAGGGCTTAGGGTTTAGGGCTTAGGGCTTAGGGTTTAGGTTCTTTTTAATGCAGACGCCCCCTCTCCCAAAGCTGCAGCCACTTCTGAGAGCGTACCTTATCAGGGTTGCACCAAAACACGGGCTCCACTCCACCGGGTTTAGGGTTCAGGGCTTGGGGTTTAGGGTTTAGGGGCAGTTTAGGGTTTTTTGGGAATTTTCTTGGGCATGGGGCCTTTAGGGCTTCTGATGAAGGGGGGAAAGGAGTTCAGGTTTTGGGAAGTCGGGTTTAGGGTGTAGGGTGTAGGGCTTATGACGCAAGGGAAGTCGCGTTCTAAAGCTATTCCGATTTCAGACAGAGCTCGAGCGTAGGGTGTAGTGTAGAGACCTCATAGTCAACTAGAGTGGGGTCTTGGGCATATTTAGTAGAGCTGAGCCATGGAATGCTAAACCCCCTCGCCCGGAAGCACTGAACTCCTAAAGCCTCTGGCGCTTGACGCGTCTCAAGTCCGAGGTGCGCTGGGCCACCTCCCTCTCCGTCTGCCTCCGTCACTGCCTTGCGCTAATCAAGACTTTCATCAACACTTTTCGTCTGGGTTGGCCTCTAGGCCCTCTGAGAACTGCTTGTATAAAGAACCCCCTTTATAAACCCAAATAAGGACAATAAAAAATGTCTCAAGAACCAACCTAGTAGTGGTCCGTTTCGCCAGGGTTTTATAAGGGATCTATCCTTCTAACTACCAGGCCTTACAAGCAGAAGTCTGACAAAGTTTTACTTGGAAGTCAAAGTCAAAAGATCCTACAACACCAGAGTATACAGTTGGGGGTGCGGATAATAATAATAAGATGATTAACAATAGCAATAACAATAATAATGTTAATAACAATAATAATAATGATAATAATATTAGTAATAATAATAATGATAATAATAATAGTAATAATAATAATAGTAATAATGATAATAATAATA